TGAAAAGGTCCATACCGGAAGAAGAAAAACTTGAAGATGAAGGTTTGAAACAAATCTTTCTAGAAGAAGTAAAGTATAGAATAAGATGGTTAGGATTTTAACTTTTGTTAGAACTTATAAGAAGGATCTGCAGTAATGATCTGCAGGCAATGAAATTAGTAGTTGGAAGGGTTTTCACTTGAGCTACTAATGGAGTGATAAATCACTCCCGAAGTTGCACTTAGAGTGGTAATAACCAAGACGAGTGAGTTAAATAGAGATTTAGCTTTAGTGATTCATTTTACATGTATAGTATACTAATGTTGAATAAAGCATACATAATTAGCCTGACAAAGGGTAAAATATATATATATATATATATAAACTTTATATATACTATTATATCTAGATTAATTCTATTCACTATTTGCTTAATTCAATAATATTTTCTAAATAAAAGTTTATATAATTGAAGAAATTTATAAAAGGAGAATTCTTATTACTAGTTTAAATTATTCACAGATTAAAAAAAATAAAAAAATACAATTAAAATAAAAATACAATATAAAAATTAAGGTTATTTAAAGTAAATAAATATTATTATTATAAAAATTCTTAGAAATTTTAACAAGCCAAACCTTTGATTCTGAACTCTATATTAAATTATTATATAGATTATACTCTTCATAAATTTAACAATCCTCTAAACTATAGGAATCCAATTTTTTTAATTTATTTTATTGAAATCAAATTAATTTTAATATTAAAAATTTCACATATCAATAAATTTTATAATCATTGTTCTTTTAAATTTTATTCAAATAATATAAATAAATCAAATTATTTTTTATACACTACCATTAGAATTAGAATCATATTTTGCTTCATTGTTTAAATTAATTATTATTAGCCTGAGTATTTCGATGCAGAGAAGCTATATCGATTAGTGAAGCACAATTTTGGTATATTTTTTTTTATTTTTCAGATGTGAATTTATTAACTACGTTTATACAATTTGTTATGTTATACATTACTGCGTTTACGGCTTACAAAGAAGATAGAGGAATAGAAATCATTAAATAAAAAGAATAAATAAAAATTATTATATTAAATAGTCAGGCGAAAAGCTGAGCGGCTAATGATCCCTATCACTTAGCACGAGCTATGGAAATGAAAATTGTTTTTGCATATTAAAATATTCAATCCCAGTTGATATATTGATGATAATTATATATTGAATCATCTCTCTTTTCGACTGAATTTTTCTATTAAAAAAAAAATAATAATAAGCAAAGAGTTTCGGCTATTTTTTAATAATTCGCTTTTCTTAATACCCAGGGGACATTATTCAACTCGTCAATTATTTTCGTTCGAGAAAGAACTTTAAGACCTTTGTCTCCGCTCGTTTCTAAAAAATTCATCGAACTTACCTCTCGAGATTCTAAGATAAAATCACGAATTGTGAGAAACGATACTAAAGGATTTTACAAAACCAACTTTACAGTACTCTACCTTCATCTTTGCTTATCTGTTCACTAGCCGTTGTGTCTAAAAAGATTCATCAGAAAATCAACCTTGTATCCTTAAAAGAAAGACGAGGTAACAATAAACATAATAATACCTTCATCGGAAATTATGGAGTCATTCGAATTTCGTGGCTTCGGTAAGTCGGGGAAATATAATAGTCTACTTTTGTAAATTGCTTCTGGATGATCTGATCCTGTAAAGGACTTCTCATCTAGTTCTAAAGATTTCAATCTTTCTTCTTCAGCGGCAGTGAATTGATCAAATATATCATGTTTTTGTGTTACACCCATATGCCATCCCCATGACATTATCGTTTCTTCTAATTCTATGATGCTAGGTCTTAATTTTGGGTTAGCATTCCAACATCGTTCCATCAACTCCTTATAGCATTTTGGCATTACAATATTTATTGAAGGCCGGAGCCCAATGCATATTTCCCAGGCTAATTGGGAGTCATGCGCTCTGTCGCATAGTGGTTTCTTTTCCGTAGCCACTTCCCACATCATCACACCGAAACTATATATGTCTGAGGCTGAGGTATATCCTTCTCCGCACAGGACCTCGGGTGCTACGTAGGGTAATACTCCATAAACACCTACATCATCATGACGTTTAGCTTGGCTATTTGCTGGTCTATATTGCCCTAAATCTGCTATATATGTAATACTTTGAGAGCCATTAAAATGTCTCAGTATGTTTCCACTATGAATATTTCTATGAATCAACCCTGCATTATGAATAGTCATTAATCCATGTGCTATATTATATATAATCCCTAATTTCTTTTCCCAAGTAATATTTTCATTCTGCTCAAGATAATCTCTCAAGTCTCCCTCAATCAAATCACCCACTATTATATAATCACGTGTCACTGGATCACGGCTAAATCCATAGCATCGTGGAATACATTTACTTTGACAATAATTTCGAAAAAGCTGTACAATAGATAGAACAATAAAAATTATCAGCTTCAAAATATGCTGTACATGAAGGGCAAATGCAACGTACGCTTTTCAAAATAAAATTAATGATACCTCTTTCCAAAAATTGGAATCTGCCTTCTCTGAATCATATAATCTTTTAAGGGATATTTGCTTTTCACCCTCGCGTACCCAACCCTTTTTATTATCCCAATACTGTTTAGGTCCAAGATCCCAAGTTGCCCTATACACAATTCCAAAACCTCCTCTTTTAATCTCCTTAATCTTCTCGAATTTATCATATGGTATCCACTCAAGAAACATCTGGGGCGCCGTCGCATTTAATTGCGTAAGTCTTATGAACTGATCCAATTCGTTATTTCCACTCGTCCAATTATGAAAATCCTCTTTGAATCGTTTTGCCTCGCATGGCTGACACCATCCACGTTGAGTGTATTGTTGATTACAGGATGGGCAGCATTTTTTCGGGGAATTGATTTCGGTCAAGTCTTGGGGTGCAAAATTTTTACTTGAAGTGCAACCCATCTACGTATTATTTATTATTAAAATGAAGGTGATGAGGAAGATAACATAAACTAGCAAGTTTATTCTAATTATTATTAATGAAGTGTTTTTGTGGATAATGCTGCCGGAGCATTTAATTAACAAAAAAAAAAAATGATTAAAACGAGGCTTTCATGGTCGTCGGTATGTGTATATCAAATTAAATTGACCGCATCTTTGCATACAACACATATTTATAGTGGTAATTTCTAAAAGCAAACAGAAAATATGCTGTGGAACAACGATGTGAGCTAAAATGCCAATTACGAATCATTATTTCCTTTGTTCCGTCTCGGATCTCGCCCAAGCACTTCGTCCGTGTAACCTGCTTATTGGCTCAATTAAACGCTTGCTTCAATAGAC